AAAAAAAAGGCAAATTGACAGATTTTAATTATCTCAACAACCATTTATAGCACTGGAATAATAATAATAGTAGTAATAATAATAATAATAATAATAATGATGATAATAATAATAATAGTAATAGTAATAGTAATAGCAATAGTAATAATAATAATAAGTAATAGTAATTGGACCGAGTGGAGTACAATTCAGGGGGTAATCAAGCGAGTAATTTCAAAATCGGACGAGCGAGAAGCGCGAAGTCGATTTGTAATTCCGAGCAAGATTACTCCCTTAAATAAAAGGAATAAATAGAGGAAATCGAAATAACCGAGACTCTTCGAATTAGCCGGGTCCAACTGTATCCTTGTGAATATGAATTTTTGCTTTCACCAGGTTAGATATCATGCCATGATGCATTTGTAAATACTATTATTTGAAGAGACAAGTATTTTAATTTTGAAATCCATTTAGCACCATTCTTAATTATCTATCTGTGTACAGTATATCATTTCCAGGGAAATTGTTTTGGAAAAAAAAAATTTTTGCGGAAGTAAATTTGATGCTTGATATTTTTATTTTCTGCTTCTCCAAAAGGAGGGGACTAACCACACAATCCACNTGAATTTGATACTTGATATTTTTATTTTCTGCTTCTCCAAAAGGAGGGGGCTAACTAACCACCCAATCCACCACCCACAAATATGCCCCTGTAGTGGTACAAAGAAAGGAAACTCAAACATGCCCTGCAGACAAGTGGGAGCACCACTTAAAAATAAAAGATGGAGAGATAGATTCATTGGAGTCTTAGCTTGTGGCGTTCATCGTTTAAAACATTTGTCTGGTTTGTCTTATATTTGTACTCTGGCTAAATATGGCTTCAATTTCAAACTGTATTTGTCTTGCATTTATCAGGGACGAAAACATATTAATTTTGTCCCTCATTTGTTGCCTTTACAACTAGGACAAATATAACATCAGATTTGTCCTATATTTGTCCTGAAGCCCAATATGATCAAATCCATTATTTCATCCAGTGAATGTACAAGAAGCAATTTCTGTATTCTGGTTGGCTAGGTACATGTCAATTAATCTCAAATCAGTGCAATTTCACTAGCACAAAAAAGTGAAATTGAGAGCAAAACGGTGAAATTGAAAATGATGGACAGCTCCGACAACATTGAACTCGGACAAACAAACTGGCGGACAAAAATTAGACGAAGATTGCAACTCTTTGCCTAAATTTTAACACAAAGACTTCATAACAAAGCAAAGTAAAAAGCTCAGCAGAAATTGCTAAACTATTTTTCGCGAAGTGTGTAAGATCAGAAATATACACAAAAGCCGTGAAGACAAGAACAAACTTGAGCTTCAAGTGAAATATACCGGAGCCAATCACAACGGCATTATAAAATCCCAGTTGTAAAACTAATGTTAGAATTCTTCAATACTACGAAGCAAAGCACGAGGAAGGGCCCAACAAGGCGTCCTAAGAACGTGCCACATCTTACTTTTGAAAACGAAAGGTGCAAGCATTCTACTATTGCGAAAGAACAGAGCTTAGAGATTAGGTATAAAGATAGTTCACCAACAAAACGCGGCAACCACTTAAAGAGGCAAATCTAATCGTTACAACATCCAATCTTAAGTCAGGTAGCAACCAGGAGAAGTTAAGTGGCAGTCTCTCTAAAAGCGGTCCACTGCATTTCTGGTCGGAAAAAAAATTTCCCTCAAACTTTTCTCAGTGAACTATCTTGGGTCATAAGTAAATGCAAAGACTTTAGTTTTTGCAAA